TTGTGATATCCAAGTTTGTGGTGAATTGTCATAATCTGTGATTCCGTTATTGCAAACTAATGCGATTTTTTTTCAGTCAAGAATTCTGTCGTGAATTGGTAAACTAGGATAAGTGCAAAAAAACAAATTTTACAGGAGAGCTGAAAAACTGTTGCTGCCTTTGTGAATAGGGTTTCGAGGGTATTGGCGCTACATTTTTCCCTTTTTATTGGGTCTTTTTTTTAGGTACCAGTATCACGCACGCAGGATGCAATTTGAGTAAAAATTCTGCACTTATCCTTAGTGACTAGATTTTCGGGAAAGATAAGTCAACTTATCTTTTTCGATGACTCAATCAACTGGATATATGTTGACTTATCTCTTGGTGCACTAAGTAACAATGATAGTCAATTGAGCGNCCAATTCACTCGAGTTTGTGTAAATAAAAGTTTTACAGAACTGTAAAAAAAGACAATCGGTTGTATAGAAGAAAAGGGATAAGAAGAATACTGATACTGATAACATTCAAGTAATTTGAAAATCTAACTAAATTAGGTAAAAGGAAATCCTATTCAATTCGATCAAATTTTTTTTTTTTATGCTTATTTTATATCGCTTCGAGTCTGATGAGACTATATGGCGATTGATCAAGACTTTAAAAATTGTTAGATCTCACCATTCTACTCGGCCAGGAATTGAACCTGGAACCTATCCGTTGTGAGGCAACGGCCTTAACCACTATGCCAGGCCACCGGGACCGATTCTTTGAACAAAACGCAAAAGAAGTTCATTGTATTCTTATGACCCTATGGAACAGAAGTAAAGAATATGTCCCCAAATACATGGATCATGTTTATTCTATTTCTCCATGTTTCATCTCGAACTGTGGTCTTGGTTGGACGATGAAAACTACTCAAGGGCTTATTTTTTAAACAAAAAAATTCAGTTTGTGGGGGAACTCGGTGGGGGCAAAATGGGGTTTTCTTGAGCTTACACGATTCAATGGCGGCAAAGTGATTTATGCGGGAACATGTACGATTGACTGGGGGCAAAATGGATATGTCCTGAACTTATACGATACAATAGGGAAAAAATCGGTATTTCCTGAACTTACATTATTTAATAGGGGTAAAGTGGGTATTTCGAGAATTCGTAGGATTGAATGAGGGCAAAATGGGTGTTTCGAGAACTTGCACAGTTGAATGGGGGCAATGTGGGTATTTTGTGAAGTTCTAATATTTCATAGAGGCAAAATGGGTATTTCCAGAATTTATACGATTGGAAGGGGGCAAAATGGGTATTTTTTAGACTTGTGAGATTTAATAGGGGCGAAATAGATATTTCTTGAGCTTGTACGATCGAATAGGAGCAAAATGGGTCTTTCGGCAACTTGTAGGATTGAATAGGAGCAAAATGGGTATTTAGAAAAATTGTAGGATTGAATGGAAGTAAAATGGCTCTTTCCTGAATATGCATCATTGAATCGGGACAAAATTGATATTTTGGGACTTTACACCTTATTTAGGGGGAGAGGGGGACCCAAGTTAAACTTGGAAATCNTTTCCTGAACATGCATCATTGAATCGGGACAAAATTGATATTTTGGGACTTTACACCTTATTTAGGGGGAGAGGGGGACCCAAGTTAAACTTGGAAATCTGCAATGGATGAAAATAGCTATTGAACGGCTCTTGATATATGATGGGCCATCATTAATGGCACACCTGAAAAACTACAAAGAAATCGGCCCCAACCCGTTATGCCTCATACGTTAAACGGAAACCTCAAACGGAAACCAAATGCACGAAAAAGAAGGGCCTCGTTCAATGTATGGGGACAAATGGGTTGGGCCCGATTTGTTCTCAATTTCTCAGGTGTGGCATCATATACCAAAAGTCATTTAATTAAGGGCCACAAAGAGAAAATTGAATTTCACGAGGGTTCCAAGGGGAAAATTAAATTTCACGAGGGTCATGAGGGGAACATTATATTTCACGAGGAGCAAACGTCACGAGGCTCACGAGGGCCACACTGGAGATTTCTTGTCTTTATCCCTATCAAGGAGGGGGGGGGGGCAAGTAAAACTTGAAAGTCTGCGACGAATGCAAATAACTATAATACGTAAAAAATGTATAAAATATAGTATACAGTTTTTTACATGTTAGAAATTTTGAGGGCACCCAGCAGGATCAAAGGTCACGAGGCTTACGAAGGCCAGGAGGAAAAATAGTATATTTCGATACGAGTGGGACGAGGCGTTTGAAATTTAATTTTCCCCTCGTGAGTCTCGTGACGTTTGATACAGTGAAAATTAATTTTCCCCTCGTGGCCCTCGTGAGAGTCGTGAGCTTCGTGAGCTTCGTGATGTTTGGCCCTCGTGAAATTTAATTTTCCCCTCGTGGCCCTCATGAGCCTGGTGATGTTGGATTCTCATGAAATTAAATTTTCGCCTTGTGGGCTTCGTGAGCCTCATGACATTTGATCTTCGTGAATTTAATGTTCCCCTTGTGAGCCTTGTGACGCTTCATTCTCGTGAAACTCAATTTTTCCCTTGTGGCCCTCGTAAACCTCGTGACATTTGTTCCTCGTGAAATATAATGTTCCTTGACCCTTGTGAAATTTAATTTTCCCCTTGGAACCCTCGTGAAATTCAATGTTCTCCTTATGGCCCTTGTGAGCCTCGTGACGTTTGACCCTCAAGAAATTAAATTTTACCCACGTGGCTCTCGTGACAATTGACCCTCAAGAAATTAAATTTTTCCCTTGTAGCCCTCGTAAGCCTCGAGACGTTTGACGTAAGTCCATTATTTTCACTCTTATAATTGTAAAAATTGATGTCAAATAGATGGTATAATACGTGACGTATAAAACGTATTTTACTTTACGTTTTATACATCTAAAAAAAAGTGACGTAAAATACATGGTATAATACGTGTAAAATACTAGGTATTTTACTTGACGTATTTTACGTGCCCAACCCTGAGGAGAATATGGCTACTAGCCGGATAGCTTAGTTTTGAGAGCACGTGATTCATAAAAGAATAATTTTATAACTCGAGAGGCACTCATGTTCATAAATTGACACAATTATTCAAAATAATTATCATATCATTTTTGCCCTCTATGCGAAAGTACAAATTCAAGAAATACCCATTTTCTTCCAATTGATTCGTATGAGTTCAGAAAATACCCATTCTGCCCCCATTGAATCATATAAGGTTAATAACTACCGATTAAGACCCTATTGAATCGTACAAGTTCCCGAAAACTCCATTTTGCCCCCATTCAATCGTACAAGTTTCCGAAATACCTATTCTACCCCCACTCAATCCTACAAGTTCCCGAAATACCCATTTTGCCCCGCATACACCCTTTTAATATGGTGGACTTACGGCGTTCAAATATCCATTACTCTTGCCTTTTAACTATTTTGTTTCGATATATTTGTTTGTGTTCAATTCCATAATTTTTAAAAACTAGAAAATTGCATTGTTTCTATAATTTTTTTTTCCAATAAAACCGAAACTGTTTGAAATTTATCATTCAACCAGATTTAAGGGCCGTCTTCACAAGGGTCACGTGACCCAAGTCACCTTTACTAATTACAGCCAACATAATTCCCTGATTTTCATGAAAGCCAATTTCTGACATACGGGAGTCATGACTACAGGTCGGAAATTGGGTTTTATTAAAATGAAGGAATTGTTTTGGCTGTAAATAGTAAAAGTGAATTTGGTCACGTGACCCCTTGAAAGACGACCCTTAAAATTCAAACACTGGGGTTTTATAAATCCAAACACTCGGGTGTAAAATCGAAAAATTAGATAAGGGTCTGAACAAAGAAACCGGAATGAGAGTAAAAATTAAGGTTCGCTGGAATTGGGTGAAAGGGTCAAAGGAAGGGTTACGAGGGTTAGGTGCGGAAACCAGACATGAGGGTCACCAATGTACCAGAAAGATAAGTCAACTTATCCTTTTCCCATCGGTTCCACTTCGGAAGATAAGTCAATATATCTGCCAACAAGTTAATGCACTGCACTTATCTTTCGCACTTTTTCTTCATACTGGGGTCAATTTTTGTTTTTTCGCAGAATCCCTTCGTGGGTAGTAGCAGACCATTGTTGGGAAGCGATTTGGCTAAAAAACGCATTTTCGAAAAAAATGCACTTATCCTAGTTTACCAATTCACGACAGAAATATAAACTTCTTTCAACTCAACGATATCTTAGTAAACAATCTCGAAGCTTTTTCCGCGTAACAATATTCATTCTGAGTCGGCACACGAAATGCTCACTTCAATTATAATTTACTTGGAACAATGTAAGATCGTGTTAATTGAGATAACAACGCATTTAGTCATGAGAATAATTTTGATTTTAGAGTAAACCAACGAATTTCTGGAATTGGCAAACTTTTGGCTAGAAAGAAATCAAATACTCTCATTATGGCGACAAATAAAAGGAACTTCAATTCTAGAGAAGTTCGATTTCTCCGACTCAAATGTATCTCAAGAAGAGATAACTGGTATTATGAATTCATGTTTATTTTTTAAAATTAACAACCAAATGATAGTTGGCTCAAATCAAATTCTCTTGATAAAATTAATTTTTTCTGTCAGTGTCGAAAATTTTTTCTCTGTGTTGTTTCAAATAGTTTGAGGTGCACAGAAATTGAGATTCTCTTGTAAATTAGGATCTGTTGATGATACAATTTGGTACGCCTCTTTTAAAAGGGTTAATCGTACACTGATAGAATGATTCATTTATTCCAAACGAGATTCGTTAACTATTAACGAATGGTAGAGTTGAATATGACCAAATGAATATTCGTTAATAGTTAACGAATGGTTCACTTGAATGGCGAAAGTCAAGTCAAACAAGGCTCCTCAAATATACATTCGTTAACTATTAACGAATGAACATTTGATGAGACCGAATAGACCCTAACCTCCAACCAAAATCCATTCGTTAACAATAACTAATCCGTTCTATCAGTGTATGTGAGAAGAGCATTTATTTTACCTCCAAGTAGCCGACTGGTCCGTTGAAGGGATAATCTCCAAGACGACGTTCCTCGTCCAGAAATTTTCCAGCTTTCCCATTTACCGGCGGGCAAAACAGGCCATAGTTGAAGCTCTCCTTTAATTCCTGCAAATCGCCATTAATCACAATTAGTACGGATGAATTCACTGATTACGCTCGTAAATTTTTTAATGAAGTTTTTTTCAAAGAACTCCATCACTCCGAATATTTTACGTATCAACCATAAAAATATCAAAATAGAGATGCAGACATAATAGGATGCTTTGGTTTATCACCTGAGGATGGAGGAATTTGTGCAAAAAGGGATTAGAGTGTTCGAGTGAACGAGTAGCGATTTCGGGAACACCCCATGGGTTGGCTAATAGGGGATTTAATGAATACGAAATTGAGGCTGAACACGCGATGGTGTTGGCTACGGGTGGCCTACCAACGTGCAATACACATACTGCATCTTCTCGCCCAACCCATAACCGGTTTCTCGCCTGCGTAAATTAGCCACGAATTTCGTACCAACGATATGAAGCGCAAGGGAAAAATTAAACTGTGAAGATAAATAAAGCAATGAGGCAACTGATTGGTAGCAATCGATTCTCATCCAATGGGACATTCATTGTGTTTGGACCTCGTGTTCGACTAAATATTTTTATTGGACGATTACTTATCTGGCTCCCGGGCTTGGATTGTTAATATTTCATGCAGAGAGAGAGAGAGAGGGAATTTGATTTTTAATTGATGAAGTTATGCATTTGGGCTTAATAAGACCGAATTAATGATAATTAATGATAATTCTCCTCTAAATAAAAAAAATAAAACTAATATTAAAACAGAGGACAAAATTTTCTGAAATTTATGGAAAATTTCACAAATTTGCAAAATTTCTTCTTTTTTTTTTTTTTTGGTTCCATATGTATACCTTCTCGGGTTTTTACATTTTGTTCCTTTCCCTATCTGCGTTACCATGGGCCGACTTACTTTATACCAAATTGCACCCCATTCGGGATTGGACTGCCAGGGAAACCATGGAAAACCTCAGTCGTGCAGCCGGCCGATAATGCAGCGATTCCACTGTGTCCATTGGTCACAGTGACTCAATGGGCACAGTGGTTTTCTACATTCGTGCCTAGCGACTGTATTCCCACGCGGTTAGGTGTCCCCAAACGGACACCCATCCACACTGAGAGAAAAATATAATTCTTCTGACTATATTCCATCACCATCGAAATATAGTCAAAAAGTCCTCAACAATTTTTCATGGGTTACGGTAACTATGGCCGGAGAAGTAATTACTACAATGAAATGTAGTCATTGCAACTACTTTATAGTTCTGCTCACGATAGATTTGTCGTAGTTACTTTTGAACGTTGGTTAGTTCAACTGCATTTTGATTTGCAAAAATTACGCTTGTGAAATTACTATAATGTTATGTGCCGCATACAAAAGAAAATCGTGTCGTTCACCAAAATGCCTCAACTATTTTCTTATTGTAAATCGAACTTCAGATTTTTCTCTCAGTGCAAGTACTGGGCAGACTGAACGCTGCTTAGCTTGCATGACCGCCGGAGCCACACACTCCCCGCGTGACCACTACAGCCACGTATTTCTTTTTTCTTCTTATATTTATCACTCCTTAGATGATAAAAACTTGTGTATTTTTGCATTGTTTTTGCGACAAATTGTCTAGGATGAATGCTTGATCGTTTCTATTTTCATCTATGTTTTAACCTTTGTTTAAAGATAATTAATTTCCAAGAGAAATAACAAAATAGAACGGAATCCTGATTATGTGATCATCCTCACATAAAAAATGACTTTGAGTTTATCAAAATTTTAATAAGTGTTTTCATACAATGTCATTGTAGAAATTCGGAAAAACGTTCTAGATCTTAGATAAATACGTGTTGGGAAGTATTGCTCCTAGAATATGGACAATTTTAACCTTGAATTCATTGGAATTTTCGGGATTAATAGAAACTTTTCATTAGGGAAATCTAGGGGAAATATTTATTCCGTTCATCGAACTGAAAAATCTTCGGAAAAATGATAAAAAATTCTGATAAATATTGACGTTTAAGCTAAGATAATATAGATTTGAGCTCTCAAAAATTACGATTGATATGTAAATTCCGTAAAAGTGTTCGAAAATCTAGTGACGATCAGGATGAAAAGGTCTATTACAGACTTTTCTTTCCCAATGGAAAAAATATAGATTTTAAGAAAATGTAAATGCATGGTAGAAAGTATGAATTCTAGAAGTTGGAAAATATTTTCCAGAAACTAGATTTTTTTTCTGTATACATTTCTGATATTTTCCTCCTTTGTTCAGTTGCCAATTTCGACATTGAAATATTTTTTTTTCTAGGTGCACCTAATTGAAAAGAATGGACGACTAAAATAACTTATCAAATTCCCAAGAAAGCGGATAAATGAAATCGCGTCTATTCCCATTCGCTCCAGTATTTATACTCTTATCTGAAACCACTGGGTGGTCTTCTACCTACATGGGCCATATCGATTTTGTAATTTGTGATGTGATATATAATTATAAATCTCTGGAATGATCCGCCCTAGGACGGTATTACGGTTTCACCAGTGGTTTTCACAAAACTTTTTCTCATTTATCTTTACCTCAGTGGCTACTCGGCTAGCAGCTCACCAGAGATTGCGGTTGACTTCCTATTTACCCAGTCCTCCTCCTACTGCACCCCGTCCTTTTTATATTTATAAAGCTGAGGATGAAAAACAAGAACACAAACAAGTGGAGATTCTCATTTTTCCCGAATTATTTTCCCGTCTTTTTCTCTTCATACAAAATAAAATGAAAAGGAAAGAATGGATGAACGTCGCGTTCACGTCTTTGATCTTGCAAGACACAGGCACTCACTGGCTCTGATGGAGGAGCAGATCGTCCTTGACTGGTATTCGATCGAGTAAAAGATGCATCAGAGAGGTATCCGAGGTTGGATGGATCGCGCGTGCCGAGTCGCCATTGGATAAAGAGCGGGGCAAGTTGGAGTAACGTGTTGGCTTGGGAAGCCAATGCAGACAAAAAAAGAAGAAAATAAACCGATAATCATTCCAACAATGGCAAAGTGTGTGGTACACGTGCCAAATTAAAGGGCTCGGACATACTCCACTGCAGCCGTTTAAGGCCCTCACTCACCTGAAAGGCATGACGCGACCAATAAAGTGCATCATTCGGTTGAGAATGAAATAAAAACATGAAAAATGTGAGAAGAAAAATTTCAGAGGGTCTCAACATTGAAGAATCAATATACAGATAGTGATGCTGCGAGACATTTCACGAGACAATACTTTGGAGGGATTGTCTCGGTCTCAGTGAACACGGAAATTTTTGGTCTCATTTTGGTCTGGAAATGCGCAGTATCAACTCCTCTCGTGATGACTCGAAGTCAATTTATCTCATCTCGGTTTCCAGTTTTGCGCGTTTTTTATATGTAGAAAACCGATACGAGACAAACCGAGACAAAAATCAAGATTTAATTCGGCTCCTTTAATACCTAAAGGAGGTTAGGCGGTGTTTGAGGTGAATTTGAGAGTGAATTTCTGTGGTTCCCGGTAGCTTAGTCGGTAAGAGTGCCCGGCGCGTATCTGGGAGACCCGGGTTCGATTCCCGGCTGGGTGAAGCGGAAATTTTTTCTCTCTAAATTCTAATTCTCTTAGAATTTTTTTTTTTTCCCCTCACCATCAATGAATTTTTCAACTGGAAATACCCGCGAAACGCGTGACCATTCATGTGTGACGAAGAGTCACGAAGTATAGTTCATGACGAAAAATAAAAAAAAAACGATAATGCGGTGAACCCACTCACGGATTTTATATCGTAATTCATAGCCGTTAAATTTGCGGGTCCTTTATTAATTTCACCGCGCAACAAACAGTGTGGAAGCGCGGACGCATGGGGGGCCACGTGCCTCATGGCCCGTATAACACTCGCCTTCAGAGGGAGGGAGAGGAAGGTCACGGTCAATAATTTTCCGCGTGCATGACCATAGGAACACTAGATTACATGACTGAAAAATCATGATTACAAGGAGGTCTTCTCAAGCGCAGAAAAGTCACTCTGTTTCTAATATATTCTCTTTTCTTTCTCCAATCCCGCTGACCCTCGTGACCCTGACAGAAAAATCGACATAATATCGTAAAAATCATTTCTTGAGCGAAAAACATCGCATACATGTTTAATCAATTTATGGTAGGTTTCAGACAAGAAATCGGTGCTCTTCGGGTTAAAGAGGAAGTTACTGAATGATAAGATTATGTCTTTTTTCGAAACGAGACAATGTTCCTCAAAAGACAAGAGAAATTTGACAGAAGGAAAAGAAGATATTGCTTTCCCTCGAACTCAAAGCGATTGAGTGTAAACGACGGTTATATATTTTTAATATCTGGAGGTTTTCCTCTGCACACGGAGAAAACAACTAGTTAGTGAAATTTTGACGACTATTTAATTGAAATTCAGAAAAATGTTTTTCAATTTCATTCGACAACCATTTGTTAAATTTTCAATAAACGTTAGCGATTCATTTGATGAATCAAATTTAACCAGAAATTGTAGATTATGGCGAAAAGATATTCTAGGGGAGACATTGATCGATTGTCAAGATATAAACGATTGCGGGGTTGTTTCTAAATGTTCATATGCCCTCACCATCTAATTTGCTGGCAAAATTGATTGAATAAAATTGAAAAATCTTTTCTGAATTTTAATTAATTAGTTGTTAAATTTCATCAACTAGTTGGTGAAATTCGCCAAATAATTATCTCCGTGCATAAACTCTCTATTCATTCAATATGAAAGTCGCTGATTCGTGAATCGAAGCTTTTATTATTTTTAGTCATTTTCTCATCTTCTGACACGAAAAAACCAATTTCCTGAAGCAAAAAATTCTCACTTTATCATGAAATGTTCATGTTCAAGTCACGAACACTTCACTGAAATCTGACATTGTCTGACACATTATCCGGAATTCTTATCCCAAGAAATTTGCCCTCAAGAGATGAGACATTTGGCGCAAGAAATTAGTTTTGTGATATTATGACGATATTTCTCTCAGTGTATTTTTGTGTGTCATCATGGAGATCTC